TTCCCTCTTTGTGTGAAACATAATTCTAGGCCCTTTGTCCAAAAGTTGTGTTGGATTTTGTGGTTGTTAGTAAAAGTTGTCTAAATTTTGGGGTTTATAAGTTTGTGTCTTACACCAAACGAGTGAATGACATGTGAGAATATATCTTTAATGTTGACTTAAGTATAAGATATTGATGTCTCCATTTATGAGTTGTAGGTTCGAATATTTTCTCTTTATATATATAGTACATGTGGAGATGGAGATCGAACTCACAAGCTCTTGGTTGGAATAATGTAATATTCTATAAATGAAAAAACATAGAGAAATAATATAATGTAATAATATTTAGTAGGAAAATTAATAAACGTTGGAGTATGATAAATAATAAAGGGAAAAAGATAAGAATAGGACGAGTTTTTTCTTTTTCTTTTTTTTTTTTTAATTTTAAATTTCTCTCGTATATAGGACTTTGGAAAATAAAAGTACATTTATTTAATTATCAATGTCATCCCACCTATTTTCGTATATATTGGTATAAACAATTTCTGCTTTTACTTTGATGCTTTAGATTTTATATGAAAAAAAGGACATATTCATTTAAAGTGAGGAACCAAAGGTCCAAAGGAATAGTACAATGTTTGCTCAACGAGGCCTTCATCTTATGTAATTTATTTATTTAGAAAAAGTAAAATTTGAGGTGAAAAATATAAGTAAAAAATAAAAATTATTATCGACTTTATGATCTCATTTATTACATGGTATGTTCAAATTAATAACATTCATCCTATCACACACAAGTTTTGAATGGTCCTTTTATTTATTTATTGGTATAAATTTATTGATGCATTTACATTTTTGCTTTTATTTTTTGGTACATCTTTTAAATACTTTACTTATTCAGCACAACAACATTCAATATTTTGTCATGAATTATTACAATTCACCTAATTAATAATCTTCAAAATATGTTTCCCAACCAATGTGCAAATATTTATATTTTTTTTGTTCTTGAAAATAGAATTCTTTACAAATTAGGTTGATACACAATTTTAATTTTATTATTTGAAATAAATATGTACGTATGATATTTTTATTTTAGTGTACGGTGATTTATCTATATTTGATTTTTAATGTTCTAATTTTTTTACCTACCTCTTTTTCTTATTTATATCCACTATTTGCTATTTTATTGGGATCGACCAGTTTTAAATTTGTATTTTTAAAATTTTAAGAAAGGTTATGTTAAATAGGTCTAATTTTAAAAACACGCTGACTTTACTATTTAAAGATTACGTGGCCTATAATATTGTCAAATGAAACTTTTGTTTTGATTTATTTTAATTACCTTATTTTTCCTATTTTCACTATTTCGAAATTTTTCCTTAAAATCCGTTCCCAATTTCCTTCACCCATTTGCCTGTCAAAATTTCAGAAAATTTACACTAACCTACCCGATTAAAAACCCGCCCTAATTTCAGACCCAACTAAATTTATATCAATTGAAAATTTTTAATAGTATATATTCAGCGTGCCACATAATTTAGTGAAGTTTGGTAAGTTAAACGATAAATTGAAAATTGAAAAACCTACTTGACATCTTTTGAAGTTCAACAACTAAATTTATAATTTAACATAGCAAGATACGGTGGATATTTTCCAATTCTACTCCAAAACAAAATCAAACAAAAATAATATCTTAAACTCAACCTAGCTAAAATTTTCATATTCTTACCTAGTACAATCTTGTGTCACCGTCTGTTGTAGCTCTTTCGATATTTTATTACCATTTTAATTCGGGTAGATGTTTGATAAATTTTAGTGGAATGATAAGTGATAATTGTGAAAATTATAAATTATAATTTAATCTTATTTATTCTATAGTACAAAATTAAATGCATGATAACGTTTACAGAAATCTTAATTCTTAATAAACATGTAATTTTCAGCCCAATTCCATAGCATTCTTTTTGGATCATAAGTGTCAAATCCAATTATACCATTCTATATAGAATTAGATGAAAGCAACAAAACTAATACTAAACTTGAGGAAAATAAGTTATTAATAATGACAAAAATAAGATATTTTTAATTAACAAAATTAAAAAATAGAGAGAGAGTGGGGAAACCCAATGGAGTTCTTTCACAGACTGGCAATGGTTGAAGTAATTTAAAAACCGAAGGAGACCTTTGGAAAATGATGACAACATGATTGCAAAAAATATATATTTTTTTCCTTTTCTTGTGTGAAGGAAATGCTAGAGCTTTTTAATTAATTAATTAAGAAGCTATTTTTTGAAATATAATATAATTAATTAATTTTTTTTTTTTCATACTATGATTGTGGTTTATCTTCTGTCTCGTCAGCTTCCCTTCACGTGAGGGTATTAATCAATCAAATTTTATTTAACTATTGTACTTAATTTAACCAAATTTCAATTATTACTTCTTTTCCCCTTACTTTCGAATGATTAGTCAAAGTTCGAAATTGACCATTTATGTCATTCTAGCTGGGTTAATTATTATTAACCCTTCAATCTGGACTTTTGAAAATTAATTAATGCAAATCTACCCCTTTAATATCTAAATATATCTTTTAATTTTTCTTAGTAAAATATGTGGGAGTAGATATTCAAATCCATAATCTTTTAATCAAATAGATAAGCTATATTAAGATTGTCAGATAAAATATATTAGTAGGTTCATGAGGTTGTTTATATCTTTCCCTTCTAACTTTAAAATTTTAAAAGTTTCAATCATTGTCTCAATTGATCTAATTCTTAATAGCATAATTCTAATTGAATGATCAAACGGGACATTACATTTAAAAAGTATATTTTTGATACGTTTTGGTAATACTAGCTATATAAACATCGGTATGTTGTCCTTGTTGGATTTGAAAAGTCCAACCTACCCCTACCTGAATGAAAGAAAAAAAAAGAAAGAAAAAAAAGAAAATAGATAGGACATTATCACATAACAATAACATTTCATATCTTACCCCATTAAAAATATAAACAACCTATCCAATAAAGTATCATTATATAATACACAAGAAATTATTTAGTTTCCAACATTACTATTAAATAGAAATGTAATTGAAATGTTAAGGTTTTGAAACTTTTCAAAATATTGGGATCAAATTGAAAGATGGTGTGTATTTTAGCTAAAAAATGATGTATATATTGCCAACATCGCAAAACATTGAAGGGTA